TTCTAGGCCAGCCATTTTCTCTTCTACATCTGAGATTCTATTTTCTGAATGATCTAGTCTGCTTTTAATACTTTCAAGGGAGATTTTGACTTCTTGTATTATAGACTTCATCTCTAGCAGTTCTGTTTGAGTCTTTTGTAAAGAGTGTAATTCCTCTTTTAGATCTTGCAAGAAATTCCTCATCTCCTGGAACTCGTCAACTTCTTTCTCCTTTCTCTTTAGCAGTTCATTATCTCTCTTCTCTTCTGTCTCTGTTAGCTTCGACATTATGAATGCTCTAAATTCCTTATCAGACATTTCCATGATTTTCACCGAACTGCTTGTGGCTGAAGAAGAGTTACTCTTTTCCCTTGAAGGAGAGATATTTTCTTATTTTCCCATATTTCTCGTGATCCAGCGGTGACTTCTTGTCATCTGATGGATGGTGTGTTTCTTTCAAATTCTTGAAGTTCAGCTGCTAGCTCGTTTTCTGGAGGCTGAATTATCGGTAGAAAATCTTCATTCCCTGAAAAATCTAGTTTGCTGGAGCTATGTGGAACCTTCTTCTGAAGGCCCGGCTTCTTCTGCCGCTAGCTCATTTTCTGGAGGCTGAATTATCAGTAGAAAATCTTCATTCCCTGAAAAATCTAGTTTGTTGGAGCCATGTGGAGATTTCTTGCTTTCTGTTTCTCTGTCTCTCTGGCGAGCACACACACCCTATAGCAAAAACCTCTCCAGAAGAAATAGAAAGAAGAAAACATATCTTGTTCTTCTTCACATAGTGGCAGAGTTCTTTACAAGTCTTGGCTACTTGGATATTTAATAGTTTTGTGTGGAACATCCAGTTATGTAAAAGAACACACTATTTTTCAAGCCTACTCCTTCTAATATTTGGGTAAATCGTGGAATTAATGTCTTTCATCTTTTTCTCATTCAACTTTGTTTCAATGGGTCTCAACGTTCTGTGACAGTTTTTTTTTTTTTGACCAAGGTGTTTCCATTAAAAAATACATTAAAAATAATTATTTATTTTATTTATCATTATTTTTTAATTTGGCCAGAGAGAGAAAAAGAGAGTGAGAAAGCAAGCTGCCAGGTCCGGAACTGAACTGCAGTCAGCCATGTGGGAGTCCAGCATCTTAACCACTATGCTGCCTGACCCCCTCAAATTACTGATTTTAAAAACTAATAGCTTGGAACCAGCAGACAGCATAATGGTTACATGGCTAGATTCCCCTGTAGTCAACCATAGTTCGAGTCCCAGACCTGGCAACTTAAAACTCATGCCAGACATGTGCATGCCCAAGATCCCAAGGAGAGAATGGAGGAGTAGGGATTGCAGCATGACCAACGCCCCTGCATGGGGATGTAGGGTGATTTCTTGCTTTCTGTCTCTCTGTCTCCCTCTGTCTCTCTGGTGAGTATACGTGCACTATAGCAAAAATCTCTCTTAAAAATAATAATGACTAGTTAAAACTGCCAGACCAAAAAAAAAAAAAAAACAAAATGGTCCACAAAACATTTTCCTTTCCTTCTGAAGGTTTTACCATGCATTGTTATCATTAAACAGTCTTTTACTATTAAACTTGAATGACCAATTAAGTCGAATAGTTCTAAGACCGTTCTTCTTGATACCATTATGCTTGTACAAGAGATATTTACTGGTTACCTGCTCTACGGGCATCATATCGAAAGTTAGTGATACAACAATGAGGAAACCAAAAACCAGACCTTCAAGGATTTTGTAATCTAGTGGGGAATATTTCTCCTAATCAAATCCAAAGAACCTCCGAACATAACATCATTCTTGTAAATTTAGTGTTGGGGAAACTTTGAATTCTAAATCTACCTATAAAAATTTGTGATTGTTACCAAAAAAAAAAAAAAAAAAGTCTTTTTTGTCCCCAGACACAAGAATGTAAGGTTCTTTTTTGGATATGATGTACATGGCAATATTTTTTATTTGATTACAACACATTGTGTGCATGCTTTGAAAACCACATTGTGCACCAATAAGATCTACAATAATTAAATGTAAAAAAAAAAAACTTAATAAACTTCCCTAAAATTTATCTTTAAAATTAGCCAATTACATTACTGTGTTTCACAGACTACTTGCTTTACAAAGAACTGGAACTCTTAAAATATTAAATGGCTTCCTCTTAAAAGTTCATATGAAAATAAAACAACATATCTTCTGTCATCTTTAAAGTTAATTAAAATGCAATTCAATATATGAACTATCACTTGATGTATAAATTGAAAAATAAATTTATTGGGACATATTCACTGGGTTTATTAGTATCACCTAACAAATTAAAGTTAGGTCATCATTCTCCCCTACTCTAACCTACTTGCTATCGAATGGGACGACCTAGTACAAACAAGCCCATCTTGGATAGTCTTTGTATCACTGTGTTGGATTGTAGTTTACCCCAGCACACTTATGAAAAAATCCACACTAAGCATTCCTTGGTAAGATTCAAAAGTGAATCATCCTTAAAAAATTCCTAATGTACAAGAACATGTTATCTATATGGCTATCTGCATCCAAGTAGATTAGTAACCACAGTTTCTCTCAGGTACCCTTGTTATTCTCCTTTCATGCCATTACTTGATTGGGAGGAAGGATAGCCTGCGTTAAATCAAATTGTCAACTTTATTATGGGATAATTGGTTCTGACTATTGAGCAAACTGTCACTCCAATTATGGCTGATTCCAATTAGGTAAGTTTTAGTTCTTCCTGGTTAGGACTTTCTTTCTGGACTAACCAGTACAGGATATACATGGTTGAGTGCATTGCTATTTCGCTTTTGTCTTTTGTAAAGATATTAATTGTTTTTTATAGTTAACATGTATTGTAATTGTGTTTAATTACTTTGTTTCAGTACTAATAGCATTCTCTTCTCACAGGCTGTCCAGATTATGATTGGCATCTTTCATGTTTTGATGTGGTATTTCCTATTGGTTTTGTATATGGGACAAATTAAAGGAGTTTTTGGGACGTATGAACCTTTAACTTACAAAGCAGGATGTGCTTTTTGGGGAATCTTTGTGAGTAGAATACATTATATTGATTTAATCTCTCATTAAATGTTTATACCAATAGTCGAAGGTAGGAACAGTTTTGTAACAAGGTTTTCAGGAGAATTACATAACTAAATATAATACTGGTAATTTCTTTAAAATCAAATTTTTTTTCAACAGGTACATATTGAATATCCTCAATTTATAAGTGCTATTCCAAGAGGTACAGATATAAGGATGAATACATAATGACAACCATAAGAGGAATTGTCCCTAAATATGTGACAGACAGAAAATATTAGCTATTATGTTCATTACAATGGTTATTTTCATATTTATGAAATATGAGTCAATATCCATTTTCTTTTTTTTAAGAATTATTTTATTTAACTTCATTTATTTATTTATTTTGATGTGACCAGAGAGGGACAGAGTGAGAAAGAGAAAAAAGAGAGAGAGAGAAATTGAGAAAGCAAGACGCCAGGTCTGGGACTTGAGCCGCAGTCGACCATGTGGAAGTTCAGCATCCTTAATCACCATGCTACCTGCGGGCCCCTCATTTTCTAAATGTGTCATTACTTGCACGCTTTTATGGTTGCTAGATAGCCATTAGGTAAAAGGAAAATCTGGAGAGTGTGGCATCCTATATGCCAAGTGAAGAAAGAGAAGAAATGGGAAAATACCAACTATGGTACATTTTTGTTTCATCAAATAAGATGAGGACTGAGAATTGACTGTTGGATTTAGCAGTATGGAGGCTGGTAGTAAACTTGGCAAGTAGTGTCCGTGAAACAAGGCAAAAGCCTGATGAAAGTTGGTTTAAGAAATAATACAAAGAGAGGAATTAGAGTCAGAAATATGGGTGAGGGTCTTCAAAAGGTTCATGGAAAACATGTACTGTGAAAAATTTTGCATGGATCTCAAATATTTTTACACTTTAATTTCATTTTTCCACAAACTTTTTGAAGCCCCCTTGTACAGCCAACTCTTTTAAGAACTTTCTTGTGATGTTGTATCGAAAAATGGGGTGATAGTTCAAGAAATTTGGATCAAGAGAGGGTTTGCTTATTTGATTGCATTAAGTTGAAAGAAATAGTGTCATGTCTTTTGCTGAGGGGGCTGAACCAGATAATATCAATTATCTAAGTGGCGGACTGCTAGAGAAATTGCAGGTTGAGTTTCTCTCATCTAAAATACCAAATTTTGAAAGTGTTCCAAAATCCAAAACTTTTTGAGCATTGAAATGATACCAGAAGTGGAAAATACACACCTGACTATGTAATGGGTCAAAACACAGTCAAAACACAAGTACATAAAACATAGTTTACTCACCATCTCCAAGGAAAAGTTAAAGAACCTCCTAGCCTCCTCCAGCCATATCTTTTTCCTGCAGATGCCTACATTCCTCCACACAAGCATGCCGAAAGGGTTTCATGAACAATATTATTAAAAATTATCTTCAGGCTATGTGTATAAAGTGTTTATGAAGCATAAATGAATATGTGTTTAAAGTTGGGTCCCATCTCTAAGACATTTCATTATGTATATACAAATATTTCAAAATGTGAAAAAAAAATCTGAAGCACTTGGCTCCCATATATTTCAGTTAAGGGACACTCAATAGGCATTAGAATTATGTATTTGTATAGTCAAGATATGATTAATTTTAGTGTACAAATAACTAGGAGCATGATCGGCTTAGGCAATGGTTTTCAACTGAGGTAATTTTGCCCCTTCGGGAATATCTCATAATGTCCAGAAATGTCTCGAGTTTTCATAGCTAAAGGCCAAGTGTAATGCTAGACACCCTACAGTGTACAAGACAGCCCTTCTCAACAAAGAATTCTCAGCCATCATGTAAATAGTGTCAAGGTAGGGTAACAGGAGAATAAAGCAGAGTTAGAGAAAGTACAGGCTTTGACAGGAAGTTGGGAGCTTGTGAAAGTTTTCTTTAAATAACTTCAAATGTTTTGAACTAATTGGGAAGCAATATTATGACCTAAGTGTAAGAATGGGCAAATATATTGATTAAAGAGAAAAGGAAGGAGATGAAATAATTATCTAGAAAAAATGAGAGTACATGGATTATGAAAAAGTTATTTGATTTTTCATGAAGCATTAAAGACTCACTAAGGTTTAAGAACATGATTCTATAGTGAGATGGGTTGTATGTCTTTCTCAGTTCATGTTGCATGGCAAGAGTTCAGGCATGCAATGAGGAAAACTACATTTAATTAGAATTTTGACTCACCTGTTCAACTGTGATAAGACAAGAAAGGAGTAAAGGACTTGAGAGTGGATATAAGGGAATGTTCATAATGGCTGACCATGGTTTAAGCTGGTGGAGGAGAGAAGAATTTAACAGGAAGTTGGGGGTCTCAAATTATAGATCCAAGTAGAGTCAAATGATGGTTTAGGGTCATAATGCTAAAGGACATGAGCTAGAAAGATAACAGGTGGTAGCCAGGGTGGGATACTTAAAATTGAGATATAAAATATATGACAAGGACAAGAGAGTGAATATGTGAGCAAGTGACTAAAATAGGTTAGACTAAATGATTTTAGAGAGAAATTCAAGAACCACAATTTTAGGGTATTAGGGTAATACAGGCATTGCATTATGTAATGAAAGGAGGTGCATTCCAAAAAATGTGTTATGGGAGATTTCAGCATTTTATGACTATCATAGAGCATACATTGACCTAGATGGTATAACCTACTATACACCTAGACTATGTGGTATATCCTAGTGCCAGTAACAGCATGTTATTGTGCTGAATGTTGTAGACAATTATAAAAAAATTACTAAGTATGTGTATGTCTAAATATATCTAAACATGGAAAGGGTACAGTAAAATATAATATAAAAGATTTTAAAAGGTACATATGTATAGCGTACCTAACCATGAATGGAACTTGCAGGACTGGAAGTTTGTGTGAGTTAGGGAGTGAGTAGTGAGTAAATGTGAAGGCCTAGGACATTACTCTATGGTAAGCTTTATAAGGACTTACCTTAGTTTCTGTAACTGTTTTGTTTTATGTTTTTTTGTTTTGTTTTTTTTTTTGGTTAGAGGGTGCATGTCCTCACCAGAGAGAGGAGAAAGCACCATTCACATCACAATCCCTTTTCCTTCATCTCTCCCTCTTTTGGGGATTTTGGGCATTCATCCCCACCTGCTTAGCATGTTTCTTAAGCTGCCAGGTCTGACACCAGCTGTAGGACTGGCTATGTGGGATCTGGCTGCTTTATTTTACTTTATTTACTTATTTATTTATTTATTTAAATTTGACCAGGGAGGAACAGAGAGAAAGAGAGAGAGAGAGAAAGGGAAAGTGAGAAAGCAAGCCACCAGGTCCGGGACTTGAACCGTGGTTGGCCATGTGGGAGTCCAGCACCTTAACCATCACACCACCTGCCAGCTCCCAGGGATCTGGCTGCTTTAACCACCAGGTCATGGAGCAAGCCCTGCTGTTAACTTCTTTACTTCATAAACCTTTAATTATTTAAAATATTTTATTCTTTTTTAATAGAAATTAGCCTAAAACACAAACACATTGGACAGATGTACAAAAATATTTATTTATACCCTTATTCTATACTCTTTTTAATTTTTATTATTTTTTTACTTTTAAACATTTTTGTTAAGGACTAAGACACACACATAAACATGGATCGGATCATAATGATCAGTGTTACTGTCTTCCACTTTAAGATCTTTTCTCATTAGAAGGGTGATGACGAACAAAACAAAATGAGATTAAATCAAGCAAAAGAGAAAATTATAAAATCAAGAGACATGATAAATACAAGATGTTCATGACTGCTGTTGATGCAACATGACGTACTGTTTTATAGTAAACTTTTTTTATAAGTAGAAGGAATACAATCTAAAATAATGATAAAAGGTATAGTATAGTAATATGAACTAGTGAGATAGTAATTTGTTGTTATCAAGTATTATGCACTATATGTAAGTGTGTGTGCTGCACTTTTATACAACTGGCAGCACAGTAGGTTTGTTTAAACTTGCATTACCACAAACATGTGAGTAATACATTGTGCCATGACATTAGAACATGACAACATCAGGAGGCAATAGGAATTTTCCAGCTCCATTATAATCTTATGGGACCACCACTGTATAGTCAGTCCATTGTTCACGGAAACTACATTACGTATTCCATATGACTATGCACATTGAAATCACCAGTGATTAAGTAGTGTTGGAAAGGGAATCAGAAAGACAATTAAAATCATCTGGAAAGAGATGAATGACCAAGCAGTCAATAGATGACTTCAAATATGATGGCAAGTGGGTAATAGGATCTGATGACATTTGATTCAAAGCTAAAGGAGAAAGAGTAGGTTAGAAGTAGCTCTAAGGAGTAAGGAAATCACTTTACCTACATTTGAGACAGATTGTTGGAAGGAGGTTTGAGACAGAATGGCCACCATTTAAGAGGACAAGTGATTACTGGAGGGAACAGTGATCTCTAGGGGATTCCTGACCATTATACATACACTGGCTCATGCAAGTCAGAGAATCACTTTGGGGGAAAAAAAAATTCACCGTTTTCACTCAGAGTTTTTTAAAAAAATAGTTTTAGAAGAGAGAGTTATTAAAAATCGATTTTAAGTTGACAGGCATTATCAATGAGTATTTATAAATATGTTTTTATATCCAGTTTGTCATTTCAGGAGTCACCATATTAAGAACAACAAAGCGTCCAAGTCGATATTCAGTAAGTTGTTTGGGGTACCTCTAGAAACTACAAAGCTAACCAATAGATTTTAATGAAAAAAGAGTGAGTGTCTATAAACAGTGAAGGATCTACCCTACTTATGAAATAAATGAAAGAATTAGAAAATCTAGGTGCTCATAATTTAATGTAGTCAAATATGCTGTATAGTTAAACTTATGATTACTTATATAAAGGTTTCTAATGTAGTTTTTGTTTTCTACCTTTACATTTTATGAGCTTTATGATTAGAAAAAATATAATAGAAATTAAGTCTATAAGAGAAGACTTCAAAAAAGTTCATAGAGGGAACCAGCAGTTAGCGTAATGGCTATGTCGCTGGACTCCCACGTAGTCGACCATGGTTCGCGTCCCGGACCCGGTGGCTTAAAACTCATGCCGGGCGAGTGTGCGTGCGTGCCCAGGATCCCAAGAGGAGAATGGAGGAGAAGGGATTGCGGCTTGACCATCCCCCCTGGGGGGTGATTTCTCGCTTTCTGTGTCTATGTCTCTCTCTGTCTGTCTGGCGAGCGCACGCGCCCTATAGCAAAAACCT